GACCTTTGGAGGTCCCTTCCAACCGAATACGTTCTATGATTCTGTGATTCTAAAGAACTTTCTATGCACATACTGTATGGGTCACAACTTTAGCATCAGCAAGGACTCCAGTAGTTTAAAAGCAACATCCTTCTTTTCTGGCCAGAGCATTAGCAAGAACTGAGGCCACAGCTTGAGTAATGGGTTCAGTTTTGGAAACCACAGTATAAGAAAGGGGGGGAGTGGTTTACTTGAGGGGTCAGAGAGGGTCCAAAGAAAGGCAACAAAGCTGGTGAAGGGTCTGGAGAACATTTTTTCTCAAGAGTGTCTGAGGGACCTGGGATTATTTAGTCTGGAGAAGGGGAGGCTGAGGGGAGAACCTGCTGCTCTCTACAGCTACCTGAAAGGAGGTTGGAGTGAGGTGGGGGTTGGTCTCTTCTCCCAAGTGGCTAGGGATAGGACAAGAGGCAATGGGTTGATATTGTACCAGGTGAGTTTCAACTGGATATTCAGAAGAATTTCTTTCCTGCCAGAGTAGCGAGGCATTGGAGCAGGCTGCCCAGAGAAGTGGTGGAGTCCCCATCCCTGGAGGGGTTCAAAAAACATGTGGACATGGCATTTTAGGATATGGTTTAGTGGTCGTGATAGTGTTGGGTAGGTGGTTGCACTTGATCTTGGAGGTCTTTTCCAACCATAATGATTCTATGACTCGTGACCTTCACGCAGCTTGGCTAGTGTTTGGAGCTCTGTGTGATACAAATTGAATGAGGGAAAATTGGTTGGGTGCTTTCCCAGAAAAACCTCCTGTGTTGTTCCACCTGTAAGGGCAGACTTCATCTTGGGTTCCGTGTTCCAGCTGCTGGAGTTGCCTCTTTGGAGAGTGAGGCAGACCCCAGCATTGCGAGGTGGTGCCCTCTGCCTTGGCAATGACACTTCCTTGTGGCAAGGTACCCTAGGTGCTGACCTCAGCCAACATGACCGTAGCTCTGGTTCTCCTGCAGCTGTAGATGTGTTAGCAGAAGAGACCTATGAGAGTCTCTAGTCCAGCTTCCAGCTCATAGGATGACTCTGATCAGCAGGGGACAGAGCAGCAGTGGTTGTCCACAAGAAGTTCAAAACTTTGACTCTAGTAGTTGAGGGAAAGCCATTGGAATGTGTGGAAGATAACTGGAGATGGTTTGCCATTAGCTTTAGAATCCCTCTCCAACTGCAGCAGTGAATTTGCTAGGACAGAAATATTTAGCTCGTGTTGACTGTGCAAGCCTGGTGATAGTTCTCCGTGGCATTTGCTAGCTCTGAGTTGTGTGGGTGTGATTTCTCCCCTAGGTTTGCTGGTGCTTTCACACTGCGGCAGCGGATGCTGAATTTCGTGCAGAATATCCAGTATTACATGATGTTTGAAGTGATGGAGCCAACATGGCACATTCTTGAGAAGAACCTGAAGTTGGTGAGTGTGGGTGCTTGAGAGAAGTTGAAGCAGAAGTCTTAAATTACTGAATTTAATATAGGGGGAAAAGTGCCTAATTTCTGTTACTGCAGGTGACTGTTAAGTGTTTTGCTGGAGGCCCTTAAAGTATCTGGGAACTGTTGTTTTTATCACCTCGCAGAGTGCTGCTGTCCTCCATCAGCTTTCTGCTTTAGTAGTCCTACATCTCTTCTCACTGCATCCTCCTATCTATGCCCAGGTCATACTCTGCACCTTGTTATGTCAAGGTGGAGTTCTGCTGAACTTCGCCTTACACAGAAGAAAGAAAACTATGGAAAAGAAGGAAGAAGCAGGGTGCAAAGACCATAAACTAGTCCAGATATCTTTAGTTGATTCTTTGGCTGACTTACAGCTTAGTGCTCTAAAAAAGCCAAGGCTGTGCTTTCTCTTCTGTGAACATAAGGAAAGACTTTCTTCCTTTGAAGATGCCCGAGCCTGGAGCAGGCTGCCCAGAGGAGATGCCGAGTCTCCATCTCTGGAGAGATTCCAAACCTGCCTTGACTTGATCCTGGGCAACCTACTTTGAAGTAGGGGGTTTGGATTAAATGATTTCCAGAGGTCCTTTCCAAACCCCACAATGCTGGAATCCTGTGTGATTCCAAGAAGCTTCTAAGGACTGGCATGTTAAGACTGTCTGCTATAAAACAGCCTTCCTTGTTCAAGCGGTTGTTCCACATGTGTATTCCCACTGCAGGCGGTCAAGGCTGAAGAATTTCTCTGCTCTGGTGGTATCTGGTAGAGGTTGAGCTCACTTCCCAATATTTTTTAGCCTGGTGAGACAGTGTCTGGGCAAAGCATGCCTGGCATTGTTCTGGTTCCTTTCACAGAGATGTAATGTCCTGTGTGGTTTTTCCAGGTGTGATACAGAATATTTCTGGTTCAATATTCCAAGTCAGTGACTTCCCAGAAGTTAAGTCTTTGCCCTAGCAAAAACTGCAAGAATCATTTTTTTCTGTCCTGAAGGGTATGTGAGATGCCTTTATTATCTCAGAAGAACATATTCTCAGCTAATGACCCACCTGCCTGTTTTAAACCAAAAATGAGAAGTCATTGGGAGTTTACCTTACAGATAAAGGCAGTTCAAGAACCTTTGATGATGTTCACAACATCATTGTCTTTATCAGCACAGTTAGAATCTTCATTGCATTAGAGAGAGGCATCTATCTCTGTTGTGTGGCAGTTGTTTCAAAGGTTATGATATTTAAGGTTCTCTGATTTATTTTTCTCTTTTCCACTTACTGTGGCTGACCTTACTGAGATTATGAAGGTGGGAGTGGGCATGACAGGCAGATTTAAAAGCAAAGGAAGTGCACGTTCATAAGGTAGATAACTCCATCCTGAGCCTCCTTTCCAGTGCAGAGTTTGGATGCTTAAAGCATAATTTTGTTGAGAAAGTGTTGTGACAAGTCAAAGGTAAAAAGCCTGTGAGGGGCTGTTGAATGCAGTAATGCAAATACTATCTTCATCTCAGGATGCTTCTCAAAGCTGGAAGGTACATGAGAATTATCTCAACATGCCCTAGAGCATGTCTAGGGGGAGTCACTGTTAGAGGCAGAATGCTGAGTTAGAGCTTTGGTCTGGTGCAGTACAGCAGTCCTGGTCTAGTGTTTCATTGTTGTGCTACCCTGTCACAGGCATCTAATATTGATGATGTCCTGAGCCACCACACAAGCTTCCTGGATAACTGTTTGAAGGACTGCATGCTAACCAACCCGGAGCTCCTGAAGATCTTCTCCAAGCTGATGTCTGTCTGTGTCATGTTCACAAACTGCATGCAGGTATGTACAGCCTCCCTGTATTCACTGTGCCACTGCCAGCTGCTTTGGGTGCCATTTGGCTGTGACAGTCCCTTTTTTCAACTCAGTTCCTCTTGTCCTCAATGTACGTGAAAAAACCTCTGTTCCTTCCATCAGCATGTTTTAGAGCTTGACAGCTCAGACCCTCACCCTTTCTCCCAAACAGTTTCTGTGGTTTCTCCACAAAATTTTCTGTGCTCTTTTTCAGTGTTGGGATCGGGTTCCTATGAACCCAGTTAACTCTCCTCAGCCAGTCCTGCAGCAGAATTTAAGGTGTAAGTTGCAGGACTCTGTTATTTTTTGTGTGTTCTTTTGAGCATCAGGTGAGGACTGGTGATTGGACCCATGGAGACTGATCTCTGTGGGCACACTCTAGCCAGCATCTCAGGAAGCCTGTAGCTTTTAAAAAAAAATCTTCCTTTGGGTTAAGGGAGACTTTTCTATTAGCATCATTAATGTAATCTCAGAGTTAGCTTTCATGGGAGCTGGCTAGCTGCAGGGCTAGCAGAACTGCCAGCCTCTAGCTTTGTCATGATTGGAAAAAATGAGATTTAACTCTTTTCCCAACCCTTTGCCCTTCCAAGAGGTTTACCCAGAGCATGAAGCTGGATAACGAGATGGACCGGCTCACCTTAGAGCATGGCACAATGTTGGGCCCACCAACAGAGGAGGAGCGTGCTGAAGAGACTGCAAAGAAGAAGCTGACTAACAAGGTGGGACATGGGATGGACAGCTGGGTCCTTCCCTCTCCAAGTGCTGCCTGATGCAGTCTGGTCAGGGTGGCTGTCCTAGCTCTTGTGGATAGACCTTCCTAGTTTCTAGAGCACATCTGGCTTCAACAGCAGAGTCTGTACAGAATTGTTGGCATTTTTGAGGGTGGTGGAGTGATGATGGTGTTCTCCATGTCTGTTTTGAAGACCATGTCTCCCACAGCAGTTCTTGCACTTAAGTTCTTGGTTGTATTTTAGGTTGTGCTGTGGATTACCTACATACGAGTTTTCTGCAGCCCAAGAAGTTTGACTTCTAGAATCAGAGAGTCACGGAATGTTAGGGGTTGGAAGGGACCTCCAGAGATCAAGTCCAACCCCCCTGCCAGAGCAGGACCATCTAGAACTAGCATTTAGTTACAGATGAGCCAATAAGCTGTTGGCTATGACTCTTTGCAGCCCCTCCCTTTCATACCTGAGGTATCTATCTCAGTTTAGATGCACAGGTAGTAAATGATTTGTTTGGCATGCTCTGCAGTCAGCTGGCTGCCGCATGTCCCGCTGGAAGCCTCTCTGGCACACCAGTGGTAGGGTGCATCACACTGGGAGGCAATGGGACTGCTCCAGAGGTTACAGCTCGTAGGCGATGCTCGCCTTCTGCTCACGGGCAGAAAAATCCTCCTGCCTGAAAATCATAGAATCATTAAGGCTGGAAAAGACCTCTAAGATCAAGTGCAACCATCAACCCAATGCTGTCACGACCACTAAGCCATGTCACAAAATGCCATGTCCACATGCTTTTTGAACCCCTCCAGGGATGTGTGGTCTCCACCACCTCCCTGGGCAGCCTGCTCCAAGGCCTCACTACTCTGGCAGGAAAGAAATTCTTCCCAGTGTCCAATCTAAACCTCCCCTGGCACAACTTCAGCCCATTGCCTCTTGTCCTATCCCTAGTTACTTGGGAGAAGAGATCAACCCCCACCTCACTTTCAGGTAGCTGTAGAGAGCAGTAAGTTCTCCCCTCAGCCTCCTCTTCTCCAGACTAAACAATCCCAGGTCCCTCAGACGCTCCTCAGAAGACATATTCCTCAGACACTTCACCAGCTTCATTGCCCTTCCACTGCACCTTCAACGTGCATGAGTGGGTGCTGGACCCACTCCAGCCCATCAAGGTCTTTCTTATACTGTGGTGCCCAAAACTGAACCCAGTACTCAAGCTGTGGCCTCCTGGGACATGATCCCTGCCCTATTCCTATTGGACACACTCTTTTTGATACAGGCCAGGATGCTGCTGGCCTTCTTGGCCACCTGGGCACACTGCTGGCTCACGTTAAGCCAGTTGTACATGAGCACCCCCAGGTCCTTCTCTTCCAGGCAGTTTCCAGCCACTCCTCCCCAAGCCTGGAGTGTTGCCTGGGGTTGTTGTGACCCAAGTGCAGGACCCAGCACTTGGCCTTGTTAAACCTCATACAAGTGACCTCAGCCCATTGCTCCAGCCTGTCCAAATCCCTCTGCAGAGCCTCCTGACCCTCAAGCAGATGAAATAAAGCATATAAAATAAGTAATAACAGCATATATTTGAAGGTAAACTTTACTGGGATGTACTCTGGGCTTCTCCCAGTTGGACATAGCAAGGTTTTTAACTCCCAAGGACCTTGCAATTGTTTTGTGAGATTTATTTCAGTGGTTCATTGACTGTTAAGTTTTATGGGATGTTTCTGAGCAAGTTAGGAAATAGAGAAAGAATTGTGGCACCTCTTTGGCAAGCATGAATCAGCAAACCATGGGGCCACTGTGCCTTTGTCTCGGTAGCTTTTAGCAGAGCATGCTGACAACCTCCATCTGACATCTGGCTTCGAAGCAACCATCAACAAGTTTGATAGCAATTTCTCAACACATCTGCTGGACCTGTTGGACAAGCTGAGCATTTACAGCACCAATGACTGTGAGCACAGTATGCTCAACATCATCTATAGGTAAGAGTTTTCTCTCTGTCACTTCCTCTCTTGTGGGTCCCAGGTTCAGCTCAGGAAAAATAATTGCTGTTTGTAACTGTACATATCTGCCCCATCAGTTAAGCTAACAAAAATCACAAGAAATGCTGCTTTGCGTTTCAGCCCGGGGCTTTAAAAAAAAACCAACACATTCCTCTGAGTTGTGTGAAATTTGTCTATTAATGCTGTAAATGTAATGCAAGCATTAGTTTTCTTTAGGATTGTCTTACTGTGTAGGCAGTGAGTAAGCTGATTCCTTAAGGAAGTATTCCAGGATGGGAACCATGCAAGGGATTGATTCTAAGTGGCTTTAACTTTGAACTCTTCTCTTGTATTTATTTAAATAGGCATCCCTGAAGTTTTTATTGTGGCCTCATCCATAGTTACTAGCTTCTTAGAAACCAAATTTCCTCTGGTAATACCTGAAAGTCAGGTGCATCAGACACACTGCAGGAGTTGAGAGCGAGCAATCAGGAGATCTATGGGGTTTGCTGCTAGGTTTATAACCTCTGTGTTTCTTTTTCAATAAAATGAGATGCACAAGGCCTTCTTTGGAATGCTTAACGTTTGTCTTTGGCTATAAAAGTCATACACGTTAGTGTCGCTGGGCTTTTTAAGATTGCTGTGGCATGGAGGGACCTACTACTACTACCTTGCTACTTCTAGCTTTGGATAACCACAGATAATGTTCTAGGAGCATTGTCCCCAGTTGAGCATGTGTGCTGTGCAAGCAGAGTGCTCCACGCTCTGATCCTGCTGCCAGCACTTGAGGAGTAGAACAGAAACAGCTGCAAGTGTGGAGTTTGCTGCTAGGAGCAGCTTTTAGTTGTTGTGGCTGGAATGTTTTTCAAGAGTGAAGCCCCCATGAAGCCTGGCAGTCTCTGCAGATCTGAAACGTTCAGCTGAGGCATGCATATAACCACAGAATAAGAAGGCAAGCAAGGGTCAGGAGTTGGCACCTCTTAATTCAAGGAGTCATTTTGGTGCAAGTCCCATGTAAGAGCCACTGGTCACCAATGGCCTCACAGCTGGTGTAGGTGGTGACACTTCAGAATTGCTGCTTGCAGACCTTTAAGTCACTGTAAAAATGGATTTGTTTTCACATTTGCCTATTTTTTCCAGTGAAGAGACAAGATATGTATTGCATATAAGGGTAATTTTAAGAGTCTAGGATGTCCATGAATACAAATTTCCACACCAACACTTTTTAAAGTGGTGCTTCTCTGTCTGCAAGCCAAACAGACACATTTGCACCGTTAAGGTGCATGGGAGCCTCAAACACTGGAGACTTGTCTTCTTTATCATTGCTGTCATCTCGGGCGCAGAAAACAAACTCATCCTAAATATCAATGAGTTCCTTCCTGCTGTCTGTGAGCTGGTATGTGGCCTTATTTTGTGTGAGCAACAGTAAACAGCTCTTGCAGGACTGCCAGAAAATTAAGGTCATTTTTAGGTGTTGTTTCCTTTCATCTTCTGAGGAAAGCCCTTGTTTTTACCAAGGAGTACTCCCTACTTTTAAGACTCTTTTTCATCTGCAGTCGCAATGCTTTTCAGTGGCACACGTGCTGGAATCAGTTATTGGTGGTACCTAATTTTGTTCATAAATGTGCTGGATAACTGGTTAATCACATACATTTTATTTCTCCCCCTGTTGCTGTAGAGATTTTATGCCTCAACCCCTTTGGTATTTAGCACAGAACAAAGTAGATCCCTATTTAGTTCTTCTTAACCAAAAGGACTAAAGGGTGCTTCTAGCTTTCTCTTCTGTTTTAGTTTGATTTGTTTAGATGGTGTCTTATTGCTCCTCTGTGTTGTTAGGTCTTTGTGAGCTGTGCTTTTTGTTGGTCATTCTCATCCTTTAACTTAACCTTGAGGAAAATTCTAAGGATATTAACCTGCAACCATTAAGCTCTGTTTGATGCCCTTCTATGCCAGATGTCCTTTATGGCTGGCTCATAATCCTTAGACCTCTGAGATGTGCTACACATGAAAACAGAGGGAGAAAAGGTTTCAGAAATTTGGGGTTTTTTTAAGCAAGTTGTTGTCTCCTTGTCATACTGTGTGTCTTGAAACTTTCATTGTCCTTTTCTGACAGGACTGTCCAGGATTCTTGGTAGCAACCTTTACAAACACTGTTTTGTGAAGTATCCCATCAGGGGACTGGGCTTCCTTTACTCCTGAAATCTTCTTAACCAGCAACTACTGTGCATCTACACACCCACTGGCCTCCTGTGTTAGCATTTTCTGCTCTATCTGAGATGTTACCATAGCTGGGACCAAGGTTGAGCACTAAAACCTGTCATCCCTGTTGCCATGGGTGCCTCCAGGAGTAGTGGAGTCTAGCCCACCAGCTCCCACAACACTGTAGAGAATTACACATCTTGTCTTCTTCAGTGTAGGATTGTATCCCTTACTTAAGGAGGACAGAGATATTTACAGGCATCTGAAAGGAAGCACAGTGCACCAGGACTGCTTACTGCTCTGAACTCTCCTGCTTCCATTTGCTGTCAGGGTAGGAGCTTATCTTCCTGCTACCAGAACTGCCCTTGTTGTAGCAGCCCCTGAGCTGCTACTCAGTCCCTGAAATGGGAGGGTAGGTGAGGACCCCTTCTCCCCAGTTCTAGTAACTCTGATTCACTTCATCTTTGAAGTGACCAGAGTCTGAGGTCTCCTTATCTTGGAATTGTTTGAAGACTTCTTTTGTAGCTGTGAGTGGATGCCCTGACTGTACCAGAGACTGCTGTTCCTGTCAGGACTAACCAGGACAGCAAAGTCTCTGCAAATCCTTTTCTAAAATGTGGTGCAGTTTCTGGACGTTTTATGTCAACCCTCATCTGCCTGGGCATCAGTGTTTATCAACATAGGATAAACTACAGGATCCATCTGTAGAAAAATTGACAGCCCAAAGGGATTAAGCTCTTACACTCCCCTCACTGCTGTCACCTCTGGGTGTCACAGTAGCATAGAGTCAGTCCCTAGATTCAGGGATTGAGACCACAAGAAGTTGAGTCATCCAGGCAAGGACACTCCTCAGTATTCCAGCTCTGCCTCCTTCTCTGTCAAGTACTTACATTTTTTATCATTACCAGTACAAGTTCTAACAGACAAGCTTTTTTATGATGTTCATCCAAGAGACCTTACTGGCAATTAACTCTATGATCCAGCTGCTTGAAGATCATTGCAGGTCACACAGGATGTGGCCAACAGTGTGGAAGACCAAGCTGTCTGCTCTTTTAAAAGAGCATTATGACCCCACAGTCCTCAAGCCTTGCAAAGAACATATGGAGGTCATCCCATTGGTAGAATTATCCCTAGCTCAGTCTAAGGCTGGAGTTGGTTCTCAGCTTACTCAAGAAGTCAACAATACGGAGTCCTTAACCAGTCTTTACACCATGCAACAGTGGAAGTCCTGCAGCCTTCCACAGCACTTGGTCACGTGTGATGCCTGACACTGATGTAAGTCATTTTCTGTCAGTACCTTAGGAGGTGTGTCCCCCCACCAGCACTGCTCCTACACTTAGCTTCAGAGGTTCACCCCTTTGATCATTGCTTTCCCAGCATTCTGTCAGCCTTATGCTTCTACCAGGGTGGTGGGACAAGCTGATGCTGCACCATGCAGACTGGCTGTGTGTCTCGTTTGATTGTGCCTCCGTGGTGCCATGGCCAGGAGCTGTCCTTGACCAGATGCTTTTGTGCTTCATAGAACACACATGAGTGTTAGCTGTGGCAGGAGGTGACTCCTGAGCTGTGGAAGCTCTGAAGCCACACTTTCCAAATATGGAGAAGCTGGTTTCTAAAAGAACTTCCTGCTTCAGGAGAAAGGAGAAGTGTGGTCATTCAGGCGGGTTGTGAGAGAACAGAATGCTTCCGTTAGCAGTTTGCGTTGGGAGTAGTGACCCAAGCTGCAATCAGCTGTTCAGAAGGGGGTCTGAGTCCTCTGCCTCGTGGTATTTCCATGCCCCAGTTCTGTTGAAGGGCTGCAGAGGAAATACTGAGTCTTTATGCCATCAGGACTGTCACTGCTGTCAAGTGCCCCAGTTTGCACCGTTTAGAACCACGTGAGCCTTCATCAAGATGCTGGACGTAACTGGACCTTTACTGACAAACCAGATGTCCTTGTTTCCTTCACTGGACTACTACAAGCCATGCAACAGAACATGTCTTCCCATTTCTACAGCCTGCTCGGTGATGATTTAAAGAGTGGAAGTCCCAGGGTGAATGCCCAGGCGTGACATTCAGCTCTCATTCAGTCTGTAGGGATTATTGGATCAGGTCCTAGGCTCTATGGCAACAGGAACCCAAGAACCAGAGCGGAGATTGTTGCCATCTGAAATAAAATATTTGACAGAGAGTTTGAGAGACATACTTGTCCTTCCTTATACATTATAACCCTTTACGTGACCCCATTTCAAGGGTGATGGCCAATGTGCAAGATAGATAACAAAATATCCCTTTTATTTGTAATTCTGGTACTGTGGTTTTAATTATTTGATCCCGGTTAGTATTTTTCTGCTTTACAGTACTGAGTAACTGAGAAATGACAATCATATTTGTAGCAAAAAATAACTAAAGATGGAGATCCAGAGGATTTCCTTCAAAGCTGGGAAGCTCACATATAACTCACACTACTTGAGTGTACTGAAGTCCTGCTCGGATGCTTTGGTTTCATCATCTGCTGAGAAGACTGACAACTGCAGGACATCTCCAGAGTCACTCCTTCACATCCCAGTAGAGAAAAGGAGAAGGATTACAGCATAGAGGAGTTTGTCAGAAGGATTGCTTAATTCTAGATACTTAGAAGTCTTGCCCATCAAGTGCTGTTATCGCTCATCAGATATCCTTCCTTCTTTACCAGTTTGGAGGAAACAGTAATTACTGATCAAGACTGATAGGATGTATGAAGTGATGCAAACCTCAGTGGATGGAAGTTCCACCCACAAAATAAGAAACTGATGTGTAAGCAGAGTTTGAGGAAGCACCATGCAAAAATTCTTCAGACAGAATTATCAAAGATCATTTAACACTAAAAACTTAGCTGAAAGGGAAGCGGATCAAAAGTGTGCAGTTCAAGAAGCTTGGAATAAAGTAACTCTAGGAATGGACCAGATCCTCAAAGCAGGGATATCAGTGAGTCCTGGCCTTGTACTTGAATCAAAGTTAGGAAGACAGGCCTGCCTCAGAGTCAGGCTTCCCTTGTAGCCACTTAAAGGGGTGAAAGGGATGGAAGCTTTTTCAGCCAGGAGGGAGCAACAGATAAAACCCATCTGTTGAAGCTCCGTTTCCTGCAGTCACCAAAAAATGTCAAGGAACATTTGTTACCATTTGTGTAATGTTGTTAAGCAACATAAAACTCAAATGTTGTGCCCATCCATTTGGTATTGGAGCAACTTAATTTGAGAAAGGGAGAGTAACTTTTGTGTGTTTCACAGGCTTATGTTGACTGTTGCTTAGTGTTCCCAGGGCATGTGTTGTTAAGAGCTACACGTGGCTTCATTGGCTTTGTAGTGCAGAGACCTGCCTAAGGAAGGTAACAGCGGATGTAGGGCTGGGTGATTTTGTGGTATCATTTTGGATGATGATGGAGATGGGAGTATGATATTGCTGATGTTGCCTGCTTTGGAGAGGGTTTACAGGTATCAGCAATACTTGTGAATCACTGAGCGACTTCCAACCAGTGAGAATCATAAAATCGTAGAAAGGTTGGAAAAGACCTCTAAGTTCATCATGTCCAGCCATCAACCCAACACCACCATGACCACTAAATCGTGTCCTTGAGTGCCACGGCCACACGTTTTTTGCATACTTCCAGGTATGTTGACTCTGCCAGCTCCCTGGGCAGCTGCCCCAACATCTCACCACTCTTGCAGGAAAGAAATTCTTCCCAATATTAAATCTTAACCTCCCCTGGCTCAACTTCAGCCCATGGCCTCTTGTCATATCACTTGATACTTCAGAGAAGAGACCAACCCCCACCTCACTCCAGCCTCCTTTCAGGGAGTTGTAGAGAACAACAAGGTCTCCCCTCAGCCTCCTCTTCTCCAGACTAAATTTCCCGACCCTCAGCTGCTTCTCAGAAGACATGTTTCCCAGACCCTTCACCAGCTTTGTTGCACTTTGTAAATCATCTTCTTGAATCATGAGTCTATTTGAAGCTCACTTGTGTTAGCAAGGAAGTGGTGCAGCTTCACAACATTTTGTGGTAGTTACAGGGGATAATAGGGTGGATTTTATATGGGAATTAATGCCAGAGTTCAGTGGTGAACTCTGGTATTCAAGAATGGTGTGAAGTGGCCCTTGCTGCCCAAGCAAGCATCCTCCACTTCTCCCTGCAGTGAGATTTGCTTTGCTTTGCTTCACACCCCTCATTTCAACCAACGTTGTCCTAAAATTCATCTGACCCTACAGAAGCGTGCCTTTGTATCCCCTTGCTGCTGGGGAGTGCCTTGCTGAGCCTGTGCCCCGCAGGGTGCACAGCACTGAGCTCACGGGGGCCCTTGGTGCATTGGGCTTGTGCTGCTCTTGGGCAGCTTGAGACAACACGCTGCCAAAAATTCTGGGGTTTTTGTCTCTCAGGTTGGACTTCAACGGGTTCTACACGGAGCACTTGGAGCACATGTCTGCTGAGCGCAGCCAGAAGGCAGCTCCCCCGCTGCCCTGCCTGGCGGTTCCTGCCCAGTGAGGTCCTGCTGCCCCCCAGCCAACACCTCTCCTGCACCAGCAGAGACCTGGGCACTCACTTCAAGCTGGGAGTGCTCGACCCTCTAGATTGACACTGCGAGCTGGAGACCAACCATAGGGGTTGGCCCCGAGAGACAGGGGAAAGTTCAGTCACCTGAAATGTATGTAATGGATTTTGTCTTCCCAGAGGCTTTTATTACATCCTTTGTTGTTTGGTTGTTTTTTTTACTACATTGTAAATGGATGTATTTGTCTGTTGTACAATAAATTTTAAAAATATCAGGGCTATTTTGTTTGTTAACAGAATTCAGGGTGCAAGTAAGTCTTTTAGGTGCCTAAATTATGATTGGCTCAGAGAGATCTGGCTGAGCTGCCATGTGACATTACTTTGTGAGGAGAGCCTAATTAGGGGGTTGCTGGAATGAAGCTTGAACAGATGAGGTGGAGTCCAGAGCTGATGAGCTTGGAGATGATGTTAATATCGTATTGGCCAAGTCCTTAGCTCAGTCCTTAGACTTTCAGGATATTCTGCAGAGTTGTGAAGCCATACAAATTGCTTGAGGCAGTTTGGGAGTGGGTGTGGTGAAGGGGGAAAAAAGTGTCTCACAGGAAAGTGGTGACCAAGACATATGCTGGAGACCCAGAGGCCTCAGGGGCAAGTGTGTGAACCTGGAGAGAGATGCTAAGGCTGTGGATACAGGGCTGAGTGCTCCTGTTAATGACCTGCCCTTCCTCTCCTTCACCTCCTCCTTTGCAAGGACTCCAGTGTGTGTTCTAGTCAGGTTCTGTTTGCTCTGGTGGCCTAAAGCTAGTCCTCCAGCTTAGCAGAGAGACCAAAGAAAAGGATGGAGACTACTCCTCCTAGGTCTGGAAGACTGAATTCCTTCATCTGAAGGTTGAGGTCTGAGACCTCAGCCAGCATAATCTGGATTCTTAAGGAAAAGACTTGTGCAGTTCATGGTGAAAGAAAAGTTTCCTTGGCCTCTCAGTCCAGGGAGTCTTGGAGGACCTGTTATTTCCATTAAGTTTCTGTGGATCTACAGACTTCACAGCCTGTCCCTTGAGCTCAGGGTGGGGAGGCAGAGAGGCCCAGGTCCCTGGAGGAATCTTCTCACCTGTTGGTGACCAACATCTCAAGCCTGAGGGACTCCTCTGGCACTGTGTCACTGTTGCTTACACCAATGAGCAGCTGGTGGCTGTAGCAGGAAAAAAGCCCATTCACACAATTTAAATTAAGATTGACACTGTTTGCAGATTAATAACAAATAATTGACCAGAAAGCATTGAGTCTCAGCAGAATTAATAGATATTTCTGAAATTTTAATTTTAAAAGCCAACTGTAATTTTCAGGCACCTGTCTGTGAGTAATCCCAAGAAGTCCCAGAGGTTCACCCCTGGGCAAGAAAGCCTCTGGGAGGTCACCTACAGCATGGGGCTGGGTCTCCCCAGCTTGTTGCACCGTGTACTGCTCACTGTCCCAACCAGAGGTGGTGCTGCTGGTGGAGCAGTGTCATGCCAGGCTTTGGCTCCTGCTGTTGGCATGAGAAAACGCCAACAAGTAACTTACCATGAAATTGTGGCCCATGAGTGGATGCCCAGTTTGCTGAGCAGTTACTGTAAAGGTTTGGGGTGCTTGGACAGCTCTTCGCAATCTACCCACTCATCTTTAAGAGCAGACCTTGGTCCAGGCCAGACACCCTACTGCCAAGCCTGAGCAGGACATCGATATGTGTCTTCTCCCTGCACCAGAAGTCAGGAGCTGCCAGGAGGACAAGAAAATGTCTTGTGTCTGAACCCAGCATCCCCACGTCCCAGAGCACAGCAGTTGGGTACCTCCTCGCCCAAATTCAGTTTGGCTGCTCTCTCTCCCTGGCAAGCCGGGTTATCTGCTGTTCTTCATAGACTGTGGGTTGGTCAGTAGCTCCTTGAAGGCCAGCTCAGCTCTGCACACCTTGTAGGTCACCATCACGGTGGGGACAACTCTACTGGAGACATTTAGCTAGTTATGAACAGACCTGACTAGGAATGCCAAGGGTGAGAGCAAGGAGCTTTAATATTTATGTATATATTTTTAATAAACTTGTCTATTTGGGAGGAAAAAGAAAAGCTGTGGGGAGAAAGAGGGAAGACACTGGAGCAGCACTTGGATGTGGTGGTTTCTGGGCTATTTTGGAGGAAGTCTGTCCCCAGTGACTGAGCTCTCTGACAGCCTAATTCAGTGTCTGACCTTCCCTGAGAAAGTTAAATGTGGTGTTTCCTGGTTGGTCCTCACCCAAAACACCAAGAAAATAAAACAAAAAATCAGTTTGCAGGAGGGTGTTTTCCTCTCTACAGGCTGCCACATGGAAAAGGTAAGGGGCAATGGGTTGCACTGGGAGAGGTTTGATCTCAACTGAAGAACTATGTTATGGTGAGATCACTTGGTGGGACATGGTGGAGCTGCCATTGCTGGAGGGTTTCAATATGGGACTGGATAGGGTGTGAGATAACCTCATGCAGACTCCTTCCCCACAGCACGTCAGAATGGATGATCCTCGGAGGTCCCTTCCAGCCTGGGACGTTCTGTGGACAAGGGTGAGACAGCAGCCCACCTCGTGGCAGAATGGAGAGCCCAGGTTTTAGTGCACCTCCCAGCTCAGCTCCACGTGGTGGTCCCAGCCCCTCCAATCCATTAGGATCGTTAGTCCCAGGTTCCTCAATGGAATGACCTGATGGCCCGCAGTTCCCGCAGGCCCTTTGGCAGCTCAGCCCCGCCATGGATCCCCCGTCCCCTCCAGCATCTCACACCCCAGTGACACCTCCCAGTGCCTCCCCACAGCTGCACTCCCGTGGTCCAGCCACCCTCAGCTCCTGCATCACCTTGAGGCCACCCCAGTGCCCCACAGATACTCCATTCATGTCCTACAAACACTGCCCAGTGTCCCTGGGCCCTCCAGCTCTGCTGCCGCCTCAGAGCCAGGCAGGCACCTCCAGTGGCCCACGGACACCTCCCTCGGTGCCCTGTGG